TGCTTTGGGCTTACTCTTGGCTCTGTGCTCAGGGGTCACTCCTAGTGGATTTGTGAACCCTCTATGGGGTCAGAGTTAGAGCACAGATTGGCAGCATGCAAGGCAAGCGTCTTGCCCTCTAATCTATCTCTGCAGTTCCTACATCTCTTTTTGAATTGGGGGTGGACCCTTCCCACCCTCTCTCAGGCAGTGCAGGCAAGGAAAGATATACCATATTTCCAAGTGCAAAGCCAATAGATAATTTGTAACCCAAAGAAAGGAAGAAGCAGCACTAAGAACTAAGAGAATGGACCGCAGTGTCAGCACAAAACCTTATGTAGCCAGTTCGCTCTTCGAACCAGGCCTTTGCAAACGTAGCCTGGTTTGGTACAGGTATATGTTATGAACAGGGTTGACATTGTTAAATGGTTGGGAAACCAAAAGAATGTTGCATGACACGTGAAAATGAGCCCTGAGTCCACTCGCTGCGGCGCTTGTTTCCATCGGCAACGGCTGCTCTGGTGCCAAACAGGCCGCTCTGCAACAGAACTGCCCGCCTCAAAGACTTCCTCCCTGACTCTTCACAGGAAGAATGTGCTGACCCTGCTTGACCCTGGCTCCCTGTTTTACCCTATATAGACACTGAACAGAGAGAGGAAAAATGGTTTCCAAAGGGAGTGGGAAATAGGCGGCATTTGTTTGTAATGACAAGTTCTCTAATAGGGATTGCATTTAGAAATACAATCTAAAATTCAAACCAACACAGAAGACATGTTGGTGAAAAGAGAGAAATCTGGGCAGGAGAAAGAACAGGTGGAAGGCGCTTGCCTTGCAAGGGGCTGACTCAGATTTGATCCCGGCACCCCATATGGTCCCCTGAGCCCTGCCACCATGACTGATCGTTGAGCACAGAGCCAGGAGAAAGCCCTGAGCACTGCTGAGTTTTGCCTTGTAGGCATGATGCCAAAAATCCTTTTCTGACATCACACCACATATCAGTGTGATCCAGTTAGCACCGGGGTTGGGGGTTCCTTGCACAACCAAAGGGCATGAGCCGAAGCGCAGTGTGTGACCTCATCATATACACAGCGGAAAGGGAAAGGGAAAAGGGGAAGGGGAAGGGGAAGGGGAAGGGGAAGGGGAAGAGGAAGGGAAGGAAAGGGGAGGGAAGGGGAGGGAAGGGAAGGGGAAAACGGGGATACAAATGAGGCATAAACATATATAAGCAAGGGCAGGAAAGGAGTTGGGAAGGAAAATGGAGAAACAGGAGACGGTGAAGACACTTTGCACGCAGCCAACCCTGTTTCATTCTCTGGCACCACATGGGGCCTTCAAGCACCTTCAGGAGTGATCCATGAGCCAGAAGTAAGCCCTGAGCACAGGTGCAGGGAAGATGGTTCGAAGGCAGGAGCTTAGACTTGATATGCTGGAGTCACAGGTTCAATCCTGGTCTCCAACTCTAGCGAGGACAATCCGTGGACACCAGAGCACCAAGCCAGGAGTGACCAAAAAATACCTACAAACAAAAAACCCAAATCAAACAAAGTTAGAACACCGACTGATGAAGCATCTAATAACAAAGTCAAGACAACAGAAAACAAAATATAGAATGAAAGCATCAAAAGTGTCACCTTTGGGGCTGGAGCGATAGCACAGCGGGTAGGGCGTTTGCCTTGCACGCAGCCAACACAGACAGCACAGGTTCGATTCCCAGCACCCCATATGGTCCCCTGGGCACCGCCAGGAGCAATTTCTGAGTGCATGAGCCAGGAGTGACCCCTGAGCATTGCCGGGTATGACCCAAAAAAAAAAAAGTGTCACCTTTATGTGAAAACCTTTCTAAACAATACTCAAACCAAAACCCCACAGAGGAAAATATTTTTAAATGTTAAATTATGTAACATTTCACTATGACTCAATAAAAGGGGTGAAAAATAAATTACTATGTAATTTTTGAAAATCTTATGAGTAGAAAAGCATATGGCTGGGGACTGAAGTGGTAGTACAGCAGGGAGGGTATTTCTTGCATGCGACCCACCTGGGTTCAATCCCTCACATCCCATATGGTCCCCTGAGCAATACCACGAGTATTTTCCTGAGTTCAGAGCTAGGAGTAGCCCTTGAGCATCGCCGGGTATGACCAAAAAATTTTTAAAAAAATTTTTATTAGTGAAACACCATGAGGTAGAGTTGTAGACTTACAAATTTTTGTGCTTGGGTTTCAGTTATACAATGATCGAGGACCCATCCCTCCACCAGTGCCCATTCTCCACCACCACTAATCCCAGTATCCGTCCCTCCCCCCATCCCCCCATCCCACCCTGCCCCTGTGGCCCCTTTTGTTCTCTCTCTCCTTTTGGGTGCTGTGGTTTGCAACAAAGGCATTGCGTGGCAATCATGTTCGGTCTATAGTCTACTTTCAGCATGCGTCTCCCAACCTGGGTGGATCTTCCCAACACCCTTTATTTGGTGCTATGACCAAAAGAATTTTTTTAATCATATGGCTAATAAAAAGCAACTTAAGGGTTGTTTCAAACACTTGAATTTCTAAAAAACAATCTCAGCATGTTTTTCGCTTTTGCAGCACACCTGGCTCTGAGTTCAAGGGTTACTGCTAGCGGTGCTCAGAGGAACATATAGGACACCAAGAATTGAACCCGAGTTGGCCTCATGCACAGCCATACTACCTGCCTCCTATACTATATCTGTCCCGCCTCAGCATATTTTTTTACTATTTTATAATTGCTTGCTTGGGTATATTGTTATTTTACATTTTTAAATTTTTTTTTATTTTTTAAATTTTTAAATGAATCACTGTGAGGTACAGTTACAGACTTACAAACTTTCATGCTTACGTTTCAGTCATACAGTGATCAAGTACCCATCCCTCCACCAGTGCCCATTCTCCACCATCAATGATGCTAGTATCCCTCCCACCACCCCCACCCCATTCCACCCACCCCACCCCGCCTCTATGGCAGGGCATTCCCTTTTGCTTTCTCCTTTTGGGTGTTGTGGTTTGCAATAGAGGTATTGAGTGCCTATCATGTTCAGTCTAAAGTCTACTTTCAGCTCGCATCTCGCATCCCAAGCTGGCCCTCCAAGCATCCTTTACTTGGCAGTCCCTTCTCTATCTTTTCCCCAGCATGTGAGGCCAGCTTCCAAACCATGAAGCAATCCTCCAGGTGCGCATCTCCACTATTCTTGGGTGTAAGTCTCACATTCTGTTACTTTATTTTCCACAAATGAATTCAGTCTTTCTATGTATGTCCCTCTCTTTCTGACTCATTTCATTTAACATGATACTCTCCATGTTGATCCACTTATATGCAAATTCCGTTACTTCATCCTTTCTAACAGCTGAATAGTATTCCATTGTGTAGAAGTACCAAAGTTTCTTTAACCAGGCATCTGTTCTCGGGCACTCGGGTTTTTTCTAGATTCTGGCTATTGTAAACAGTCTGCGTAAGCATTTTTTTAAAGCAACGAGTTTAGGAAAAAAAACTTTTACAATATCTCTAATAGGAAACAGATGTTTCTAGAGAGAAGCACAAGGATGAAGCTTCAAAACAGATGTTCCAGTATAGAACAGTAAAGGAAGTGTGGGAGACAGCTCAATGGGGTCAGCGCTTCTTCTCCAACACTACCACACCCCAAGTGCCAGTGACCCTGGCGAGAACTTGAATATCACAACAATCCAAGCCAGGAGTAGCACCTGAGAATTGCAGGGTGCAGCGCAAACCCCTCCTCCAAAGTGAAGGGCGCCAGTAATATTGCTCAAAGGCAAAAAGCATTAGCTTAAGCAAGTGCCCCAGGCTCAGCCCTGGTCCCCCAGCTCCACTGAAACTGACCCCCAGGACTGAGCCAGCACTAGCCCTAATAAGCAAAGAAAACTGCAGTACAGCATAGGGTAGGTATTTCAAAAGGAGTAAGCACAAACAGCAATCAATACCCGCGTGGAAATAGGAAACTTCAAGGAAAGCAGGCAAATGTGTACCAAAGCAAAAATTAAATATGATTTTCTCTTCCAGCAGAATGGCACACACGGGCACTCACATATTTACTAGCAGAGTTCAAGAGGTTCAGTCAGAGTTTTGATGAGCAATCGAGCAAGTGGAAAAGATGAAAAATGTCAACGGATGCCTGAGCTCAGCCAGAACCATAGAGAAAGCTGCATTCAGAGTCCATGGGGCTTATCTCTAGCGCAGAAATTTGGAACCCCAGTGGGGTTCAGAAATTATACCCCAAGGAGTCAGCTGGCTCTAGGACGCTGACCCCAGAGTCCAAACTCAGACGAGTGCTGATGGAAGGTCAATAGGAGCACCTCAAGTGAGCCACCCTTCATGGCAGCCTAGAACTAACACCAACTGTCGCAGGACCTAGGGATCTCCAGTCCATGCGAAAACGCAAGCCAGGAGCAGCCAGATCTCAGGAGACTTATGCTGCAGAAAGTTCTAGGATAACACAGAGTCTACATGGTGTTTCCGAGCACTAATTCCACTTTGTTTGCTGAGAAATCCTTCTGGGTGCCTGGCGGTGGGAGGTGGCCATAAAATGTATCATTCTAGCGTGGCTTTTTGGTATAATGTGACCAGATGAATGAGTCATAAAGTTAACCGTTGGGACTACTTTAACACATGACATTCATTTTAATACCTTACCCGCATGGCGCAAGGATCATGTCGTAGGTACAGAACTTTTTCTCTAGAGAAGGAAAAGGAATCCCTGGAGGCACAGGTGGAAGTATACCTGTTAGCGTGACAGTGTGCAGACAAGTCTACGCACATTCAATGATTTGGGACGATGTTCGATATAGAACCATTAATGTTCCAAATGCCTTGACTGATTTGCAAGCAGGGGCGAGGAAGGAGCGGCTGGGGGGGGGGGCGGGGGGCTGCGCGGAGGGCTCAGCAGAGGGCTCAGCAAAGAGCCTGGCGGAGGGATCGGCAGAGCGATCCGCGAGAGGGCCGCGTGGAAGAGCCGTTGGCATTTGGTGTGCGGGCTCTGAGGTGGCGGTTGCTATGGCCGAAGCGGAGGCAGAGGCCATGATGGCCAAGGAATGCAAACCTGACTCGATGACCTTACAGGTCCTTCGGGACTTGGCCAACCGCCTGCGGATCCGTTCCATCCAGGCCACCTGTGCCCTGAGCTACGGGTAAGGCGATGGAGTCGCGGACGAGCCTCGGGAGGTCGTTGGCCTTGTAACCGACAGCGGCCAAGCTGGCCGCGCCTGCCCTCGAGAGGCAGCCGTTTGGTCTATGCCGGACCCATGAGCCTCTGTGGGTGGCCTGGGGGAAGAGGAGCAGCCGGGATGAGGAACACCGCGAGGGCCATGGGGAAGCGTGTCCAAGCCCGGGCTTCGACGTTACATTGTGGGCGTTGCGAATGTGATGGAGCCAGGCGTGGGGGCAGACCGGGTGGCCAGAAGCCCTTAACGGTCATGCAGGGTAGCGGGGTGGCGGGTCAGGCGCATGCCCTAGAGAAAAACGGTCGGGAAGATTGTGGCAGAAGCAGAGTGGGGGGAGAAGGTGTGGAACTGGGGCCGCAGAGTACTTGGAGAGCCAGAACAAAGTGGGGTGTGGGTCGACGGGAGGGGGGACACGAGTCCAGCCTGGCTGAGCCGGCACGAGTAGGATGGGCCGATTCAGGTGGCAGAACCGGGCGTGGGAATGAAGAGGCAAATGGTGTGGAGGGCAGGGTGGGGGCACAGCAGAGCGGGTGCGGGAGGGAGAGGACAGTGGCGCAGGGCAGGGAGGATGGTGGAGTCGGTGCGGGAGAATGTGATGGAGCCAGGCATGGAAGCAGGCCTGGTGGCCAGCCAGAAGCCCTTAACGGTCATGCGGGGTGGCGGGTGCGGCGCATGCGCAAGAGAAAAAATGGTCGGGAAGGTTGTGGCAGAAGCAGAGTGGGGGAGCAGGCGTGGAACTGGGGCCACAGAGCGCTTGGAGAGCCAGAGCAAAGTGGGAAGTGGGTCGACAGGAGCGGAGTAATGAATCTGGCCTGGCTGAGCCAGCGCGAGCAGGATGGGCCGATTCAGGTGGCAGAACCGGGCGTGGGAACGAAGAGGCAAATGGTGTGGAGGGCAGGGTGGGGGCATGGCAGAGCGGGTGCGGGAGGGGAGAGGACAGTGGCGCGGGGAATGGAGGATGGTGGAATCGGTGCGGGAGAATGTGATGGAGCCAGGCATGGAAGCAGGCCTGGTGGCCAGCCAGAAGCCCTTAACGGTCATGCGGGGTGGCGGGTGCGGCGCATGCGCAAGAGAAAAACGGTCGGGAAGGTTGTGGCAGAAGCAGAGTGGGGGGAGCAGGCGTGGAACTGGGGACGCAGAACGCTTGGAGCGCCAGAGCAAAGTGGGAGTGGGACGATGGGAGGACGGGGGGCACGAGTCCGGCCTGGCTGAGCTGGCGCGAGCAGGATGGGCCGATCCCGGCGGCAGAACCGGGCGTGGGAACAAAGAGGCAAATGGTGAGGAGGACAGGGTGGGGGCACGGCAGAGCGGGTGCGGGAGGGAGAGGACAGTGGAGTCGGCGCGGGAGAATGTGATGGAGCGAGGCGCGGGAGCAGGCCGGGTGGCCAAAAGCCCTTAACGGTCGTGCGGGGTGTTGGGTCCGGCGCATGCGCAAGAGAAAAAAATGGTCGTGAAAGTTGTGGCAGAAGCAGAGTGGGGGGAGCAGGCGTGGAACTGGGGCCACAGAGCGCTTGGAGAGCCAGAGCAAAGTGGGAAGTGGGTCGAGGGGAGCAGGGTAACGAGTCCGGCCTGGCTGAACCAGCGTGAGCAGGATGGGCCGATTCCAGCGGCAGAGTCGGGCATGGGAACGAAGAGGCAAATGGTGTGGAGGACGGGGGGGGGGGGGGCACGGCAGAGCGGGTGCGGGAGAGGGAGGACAGTGGAGTCGGCGCGGGAGAATGTGATGGAGCCAGGCACAGAAGCAGGCCGGGTGGCCAGAAGCCCTTAACGGTCATGCGGGGTGGCAGGGTGGCGGGTCCGGCGCATGCGCAAGAGAAAAACGGTCGGGAAGGTTGTGGCAGAAGCAGAGTGGGGGGAGCAGGCGTGGAACTGGGGACGCAGAGCACTTGGAGCACCAGAGCAAAGTGGGGAGTGGGACGACAGGAGGGGGGCACGAGTCCGGCCTGGCTGAACCAGCGTGAGCAGGACGGGCCGATTCCGGCGGCAGAGTCGGGCATGGGAGCGAAGACGCAAATGGTGCGGAGGACAGGGTGGGGGCACAGCAGAACGGGTGCGGGAGGGGAGAGGACAGTGGAGTCAGCGCGGGAGATGACAGTGGCGTGGGCAGAATGGGACAGAGTCGGGGCCAGGGTGAACTGGCCAAGGCGCGCGGACTCGGAGGGTGGAGGTGAGAGCCCAGAGAGGGAGAGAAGGGGACAGTGGTGCGGGCAGGGAGGGGGGCGACTTGGGGCCCGGCCGAGCGGGCGCGGGAGAGAAAGGGGCAGAATCGGGCCCAGCAGAGCCTGGTGCGGGAGTGAAGAGGCAAATGGTATGGGAGACGGCTGACGGCAGAGTCAGGCCCGGCCGAGCTGGCGCGGGAGAGAAGAGGACCGCGGCGCGGGCGGAGGGGGCAGTGGTGTCGGGGCCCGGCAGAGCTTGGTACAGGAGAGAAATGCCGAGTGGCACGGGCAGATGGGGGCAGAGCTGAGGAGGCTCAGCTCGACGCGGGAGCGAAGAGGCAAAGTGGGGGGCGAAGGGGGGGAGGCCAGCAGAGGCTGGCGCGGGAGAGGAAAGTGAAATGGTGCGGCCAGAAGGTGCGGTGACCTTCCGCGGGTGACACGAAGCGAGTGGCGAGGGCAGAGAGTAAGGTAGAGTCGCGCGGGACAGAAGAGGCAAATGGTGCGGGTAGAGGGGATGACTGACCGGGAGCGAAGCTGGCACGGGAGGGAAACGCCGAGTGGTGCGGGCACAGGGCGTGGCAGAGTCGCAGGCCAGCAGAGCCCAGCACGGGAGTTTCGGAAAGCGAAATGGTGCGCCCAGAAGGTGAGGGCGACTCGGGGGTGCGAGAGGAAATGGCCAGTGGAGCGGCAGAGGGGATGCTGCCTCGGAGGCCCAGCAGAGTCCGGCGCGGGAGATCTGAGGTGAGTGGCGCAGGCAGGGTGGCAATGGGCTTGGGGGCCCGGCCAAGCCGGTGTGGGAAAGAAGAGGGAAATGGAGCGGGCAGACAGGGTAGCAGACTTGGGACCTGGAGAGTCCGGCGCGGGAAGGAAATGGCCAGTGGCACAGCAGAGGGGGCAGCATCCTCAGAGTCCCGGCCGAGCCCCGCGCGGGACATATGTTGTGAGTGATGCAAGCCGAGGGGCATCAGCCCGGGCCGGCAGAGCCCGGAGTCGGAGAGAAGAGGCCGAGAGTGCAGGCAGAGAGGGCAGCCGACTCGGGAGCTGGGCAGAGCTGGGTGCGGGAAAGAACTTGGGACCCGAGCGAGCAGGAGGTGCGGTGGACTCGGGGACCTGGGCAGAAGTTCGGTGGTCCTAGTCGCCCAGGCAGAGCCAGTGCGGGAATGAAGTGGCGAGTGGTGCGGGCAGAAGGTGCTGCCTGCTTGGCACCATATGTGGTGCCTGGGTTTGGGGATCGAAGCCTGATCAGGTGAGTGCAAGGCAAACGCCCTACCTGCTGTGCTATCTTTCTGGTCCCTGTTTGGATATTTTTCTAATCTGATTTGTCTTTAGGCATTTTGAGAGCTATTTGGTGGGCCAGACATAGCTGAGAATGTGAGAGAGAATTTGGGGCAGGGGTTGGGGTTCGGGATGGAACCATACAAAATATGGGGGTGGGATTGATGCTTGAATATTTGCTCGAGCGGGCCCAGTAACGTCTCCATTGGAGACTTTGTTGTTACTGTGTCTGGCATATCGAATACTCTCGGTAGCTTGCCGGGCTCTCCGAGAGGGGCGGAGGAATCGAACTCGGGTCGGCCATGTTGGCTGCGTGCAAGGCAGACGCCCTAAATGTAATTAATTATTGTGAACTACTTTATCACTTAACTTAAATCACTTAACTTCCCATTAGTCGTCGATTTGCTCGAGCGGGCGCCAGTAATGTCTCCATTTGTCCCTGTCACGCGCTAGTGTAGCCCAATGGCATCTATTCGCTCTGGGAACATGAAGAGCCTCAAACCGATCATTCATGATCTTGAACTACTTTATAAAAATAAAATTAAATCAAAGAAGAAATCACAAAGCCAGAGAGATCGCACAGCAGGAAGTATTTATATAAATGATTTTTTAGTGAAATACATTGGCTTCATTTAAAGAAATTGGGGGGGCCTGGAGCGATAGTACAGTGGGTAGGGCATTTGTCTTGCACGCAACCAACCCGGGTTCAATTCCCAGCATTCCATATCATCCCCCGAGCACTGCCAGGAGTGGTTCCTGAGTGCATGAGCCAGCAGTAACCCCTGTGCATCGCCGGGTGTGACCCAAAAAGCAAAAAAAAAAATTGGGGGGCTGGAGAGATAGTACAGGTTCAGGGATCGAACCCTGCTAGATGAGTGCAAGGCAAACGCCCCACCAGCTGTACTATCTCTCTGTTCCCTGTTATGGATATTTTTCTAATCTGTGATTTGTTATTAGGCATTTTGAGAGGTGTTTTTTGGCTTTTTGGGTCACACCCGGCTATGCACAGGGGTTCCTCCTGGCTCTGCACTCAAGAATTACTCCTGGCGGTGCTTGGGGAACCATATGGGATGCTGGGAATCGAACCCAGGTCAGCTGCATGCAAGGCAAACGCCATACCAGGCAGTGCTCAGGACTTAACTCCCCTCTTGACTCTGCTCAGGAATCACAGCTGGCAGGGTTGGGGAGCAGCCCTATTGACTGGAGTCAGCAGTGAGCACGCAAACGCCTATGCTCTGTACTATCAGTCTGATCTTTTTGGAGAGTTTTGTTTGTTTGGAGGTCACACCTGGCAATACTTAGGGATCACTACTGAGGGTCGTCAGGGGCCATATGGACTGCTGGGGATTGAACCCGGGTTAGCCGAGTGCAAGGCAAGCGCCTTTACCCACTGCACTTACCACTCTAGCCCCAGAAGCCTGTGTAGTTTTTTTTAATACATATCTCTTTTTCTCTGCCCTCCCATTTCTTTTAGAAGATTCTTTCCTGTTTTGCTTGTTTTGGTTTGGGATTTTCTTTTCTTTTCTATTTATGTATTTTTTGCCACACGTGTGACTACGTCAGGGATCATTCGTAGCAGGACTCCAGGGACCGTAATCGGTGCTGTGGGTCAAACCTGGGCGGGCCAAGCGTAAGGCAGGCATCTCGAACCCCAACCCCTGCCCCAAAGCAGAACGGAAATAACTTATTTTGTATTGTTTGTTATGAGTAAACCGCTGAAAATGATCCCAAAGTGTCCTTAGAGGCTTTCGAGTTCCTTTGCAAATTGTGTGCTGGAGGCAGTGGCCTGCATGCAACTGTCCCTTGGCTGGGTTCGCCAGACTGCCTCCTGTGTCAGGAGAGAGCATGCCAAAAGGCCATCTCGGTACTGGGTCGCCGGTGAGTGGCTGGCTGTGAGACATGACAAGTGTCACGTCTGCTTTCCAGCCACCCCACATCGTGCAGCAGTGCGGCGGAGATTATGTCTGTGCTGTTCTTCCATGTCATGAGGTACAAGCTGTCGGATCCAGAAAGCCCGGACAACGACCGCTTCATCCTCTCGAAGGTAAGCCAGCCGCAGCTGAGTGGTCCTCAGGCGGGGAAGTCTAAGGCCAAAGCTCCTTCAGTGTCACAGTCAGGCCAAGGCCGCCTGTCCCTGCTCACAAGTTCTGCTCTGCTCACGTGGCAAGAGACGTATCTCTGGGGCTGCTTAGAAGGAAAGGGGCCAGTGGTGCCGCGCCATTCAGGAGGATTCTCTCCCCACCTCCTGCTTTGGCCGCCACAAGAGCCCATTCATGCCATTGCCATGGGCACTGTGTTTTCAGCAAGTGGATAGGAAGGGATGGGGAGACACACGTTCAGGCGGAGCATTTCTGACAGCCCAGTAGTTGTCTTAGCACGGCCTGTGTGGTGGGAAGTGACCGCCCCCGCCCGCCTCCGCCTGCAGCATTCACAGAGCCCACTTGCCGAGCTCGAGGACACAGCCCACGCTCTGCTCTCCCTCGCTCAGTGGGGCCTTTCTTACTAGACCAGGCAGAGTTCCAGCTGCCTGGTGACACTGGGGACCGGAAAGCGAAGGCTCGTTCGCAGGGACTCGGAGACAAATGTGCAGCTCTTCGGCGGTGCTCTGGTAGATCGCTTTGCGCACTCTCACAGATTGGGCAGTCAGACTTAGAAAGTGGCTGTGGCTGAAATGCTGGGGTCCTGCTTATGATCCATTTCGGTTTTTGTTTGGGGTCACAAGCAGCGGGGTTCAGGAAACCTCTCAGTGCTGGAGAGCAAGCTTAGGACCCCTGCATGCAGTGCGTGTGCTTCAGCACTTAGAGCCAAAGAACTGGCTCTGTCTTTTGCTTGTTTGGGCTGTGCCAGGAACCATACCTAGGACCTCTCTGATCCTTGTCGTTTTCTCTTTTATTCCAACCACCTGAAACTTGAGTTCAGCTAGTTTCCATTTCATGAAAGGTTTATTGAAGCAACAGTTTGAAACATTGTGCCACTTTCGGGGGGGGGGGGGGGGGTGAGAGTTGTAGTGTATTGCCCAGGCTCGGCCTAAAGGTCCAGAGCTCATTTCAGGAATAAGCTAGGAGTCTGGAGGGAGATATGAGGTTTGAGATGGTTCTGAGATGCTAAAGATGAAAAATCAAATCTGAGGGCTCAAAGCACTTGGAGAAATTTGGGCCAGATGCCCCCATAGGAACAGAAGGGAGGGTGACTTAGGACAGGTGAGGGGATGGAAACCCGGCAATTCCATTCACCTCCTGGGGCTGTGAGGACACCAGTGTCTGCTTGAATGGAGCTGACATGACATGCGATGAAGGGAAAGGCTAGAATGCTGCCAATGGCTTCTGGACACAATGCCTCTGTGTAGCTTGGCTCCCAGGAAAATGGAAGGGGTTGAGAGAGATGAACTGGGCAGACCACAGCCTGATGTTAAGCAAGGACCTGGGGAAAAGGTCCACGAGCAATCTGGTCAAGGAATAGAACAGGCTTAGAGTGGGCAGGATGGTGCCAGCAGTTATAGGAAGGGCAGGTTCTCTCTGGTGGCTCTGGGCGGAAATAGAGAGGCCACACCATGAGGGAGGAGAGCCGTTGGGGGCCAGGGAGATGGTATGTTGCAGAAACCTGGAGCAAATGCAGTGCAGCGACTTTCACAGCATCGCCTTGCAGCCCCCAGGGCCACTTTCTCTCTGTGGAATAATAATGGCCCGTACCTCTGAGCACCTTGTGGGGGGAGGGAGTACACTGATAGCTCATATCTACACTTCTAGGTAAACCACTTCTAAAATCTCATGTGGGGGGCTGGAGTGGTAGTACGGCGGGTAGGGCATTTGCCTTGCACACGGCCGACCCGAGTTCAATTCCCAGCATCCCATAGGGTCCCCTGAGCACCGCCAGGAGTAACTCCTGAGTGCAGAGCCAGGAATAACCCCTGTACATTGCTTGGTGTAACCCAAAAAGCAAATAACTCACTAAATAAAATCTCATGTGGCCCAATTTTTACACACCAGGGAAGTTGCCTTGTCATAGGTGTTTCTATTTTTTGGTTTCTGGCTCACAGTAGATCTGCTCAAGGATCTGCTCACTTTTGGCAGTACTTGGGGACTTACAAGGTGCCAAGAGTTGAACCCAGGATCCCAGTTTTAAAAGCCTGTGCTCCAGCCCTTTGAGCCATATCTCCAAACCCTGTTTTTGTTTCCTGTTTCAAGAACCCTCATTCATCATCAAGGTCAACCATTGGGCCATTAGTCCAGAGGGTTGGGCGCTTTCCTTGCACACAGCTGATTGGGGTTTGATCTCTGCCACTACATACTGTCCCCGGAGACCTGTTGGGGTGATCTGTGACAGAAGAGCCAGGAATAAGTCCTGAGCACCACGGGGCTTGGCCCCCCAAACAGAAAAATGCCCAGAACTAAAAGGTTGAGCGTTTGCTCTCCCTGGCTGGTCAAAAGCCTCGGGGGGGGGGGGTGTGGGTGGTGGTACTTGGAGCCTCTGCTTTGGCTTCCATATGGGAGAGAAGTCCCCTCTTAGTTCTGTCGTTCCCATTTGTTCTTGCCACATGGTTGTGGGCATTCCCCACGGCGCCCGCCATTCCTGCAGCGTTGATCCAAGACAGGCTGAATGTGGGCACAGCAAAGCAGAATTCCCCCAACAGATTGGGAGGGGCTGATCAGTCAGCCTGCAGGTCGGCCTGGGTTCATTTGGTCCCTTTTCTTACAGAGACTGTCACTGCTTGATATGGTGACCAAGTGGTTCGGACAAGGACTCGGTGCTGCCTGTGGGATGGCATACACTGGCAAGTACTTGGACAAGGCAAGGTAAGGCTTCCCCGTCATCGCATATGCCTGAGTACTTAGGGAAAACAGAAAGTTCAGATTACCAAGCGGTGAAGAACCTGGGTTTCTAGAAGCTGCTCTAGCCTCTGTGCTTAGGCTTCGAACCTGCTTAGGACTTGAGACTTCCCTAGGGCACACAGCCTCTTAGAGAGAGCCTGGCTGGAGTGGCCAGCCCTGCATAGAAGAACCGGAGGGTTCCTTCTAGAGCAGTCCTCTTGGCCTCGCACAGGGAGCCTGAGGCTGGGCCCCTCGACCTCAGTCCAGCCCCTCTGCACTACTGCCTTCCCTCCAGCTGAGCGTTTCCACCTGCTCTAGCTGATTTCATCGGTTAGGCCATTCTACGCTCCGTGTTTCTGCCGTGGAGGAGGATTGTTTGCGTTACGAGGGGCGGTGTAAGTATCCAAGTATCCGTTAGCTCAGGAACTGACGACCGTCCTGGAAACTGCTCACCCAGAAACAGTGCGTAAACTCTGGGCTGTTCCAGGGAGCCGCTTTCTTGCCTTCCCTGCTTCCTCTTCTGTTTGCGGAGCCTCCAGGGCCCCTTTGCCATGTGAATGTGCCATCCTGCAGCGGGGAGGCCCAGCACAGGCCCAAGCATGCTGGCTGCGCCTGGGCGCCGTGCTTGGCCCCTCTGCCCATCTCGCAGCTACCTCAGTCCATCCTCTCCTTGTCCCGGGACACTCCCTGCGGGGCTCTCACATCTCAGCTTGTTTGCTACAGCTACCGCGTGTACTGCCTCCTGGGAGATATGGAGTCCTCGGAGGGCTCCGTCTGGGAGGCCTTAGCCTTCGGGGCCCACTACAGTCTGGACAATCTCGTGGCGATCTTCGACGTGAACAGCCTGGGTCACAGCAATACTTTACCCCTTGAGCACTGCATTGACACCTATCAGAAACGCTGCGAAGCCTTTGGGTAACTGTGTTCTGTGCTGTTTGTGCTTTCCGAGCCCCTCCTCCCTTTATCTTGTGACCTGACTCCCCTTGTGTGACAGGTGGAACACTTTCGTGGTGGATGGCCGGGATGTGGAGGCACTGTGCCAGGTGTTGTGGCAGGCGGCTCAGGTAAAGAACAAGCCGACAGCTGTGATTGCCAAGACATTCAAGGGTCGCGGGACCCCAAGTGAGTAGTACTGCTTGACTTACGGGCTTAGGAGGTGACTGCAGCCGGGCCACCAACAGGGCTGGCCACGTAGGCTCTCAGGGATGATAGAACGTGTGGGTGGCTGTCACGTGTAGATGATTCATCTTAAGAATGAACAGTTTTAAAACATGAGATTAATACACAAGGATAGCTGAGATCAACACCAGGAGGATTACTCCATAGCTTAGAGGCCAGCCGGGCATTCTAGGGGAAAGGGCAGCTCAGATAGAGAAGGGAGCACCAAATAAAGGGTATTTGGAGGATCCTCCCAGGAGGGGAGATGCATGTTGAAAGTAGACTATGAACTGAACATGTTTGCCACTCAAAGCCTCTTTTGCAGACCACAACACCCAAAAGGAGAGAGAGAACACAAGGGATTGCCCTGCCACAGAGGCAGGGGGGATGGGGGGGATGGGGGTGGGAGGGATATTATCCATGGTGGTGGAAAATGGGCACTGGTGGAGGGATGGGTATTTGATCATTGTATAATCGAAACCCAAGCACAAGAAATTGTAAATCTACAGCTGTACCTCATGGTGTTTCACAAAAAAAAAAAAATAATAAAAAAAGAAAAAAAAAAGAATGAACAGTTTTGAGGCCAGAGTGGGGCGGGAGGGCGTTTGCTTTGCATGCGGTTGACCTGGGTTTGATCCCCGGCATACCATACAGTCCCCTGTGCAACCACCAGGACTAATTTCTGAGTGCAGAGTCAGGAATAACCCCTGAGCATAGCTGGGTATGACCCGAAAAGCCAAAAAAAAAAAAAGGAATGAACAATTTTGTTTGTTTGGGGGCCAAAGCCAGCAGTGCTCAGGGCTTTCTTCTGATTCTGTGTGAGATCACTTCTGGCCATGCCCAAGGTTACCTTTGTAGTTCTGGGGATCAAACCTGGGCCAGGTGCATGCAAAGGCAAACGTGTAGAGGCTGAAAAGATAGCACAATGGGTAGGGTGTTTGCCTTGCACGTGGCCGACCCGGGTTCAATTCCCAGCATCCCATATAGTCCCCTGAGCACCGCCAGGAGTAACTTCTGAGTGCAGAGCCAGAAGTAACCCCTGTGCATAGCCAGGTGTGACTCAAAAAAGAAAAAAAAGGCAAACGTGTAAACCCCCGAAATTATTCCTCCAGCCCCATCAAGTAGAAATAGCCTTGGAGGGGGTATTTGACCTCTGGTGTCTTTGTAGGTTGGAGAGCAAGTCACTGAGCAACTTTAGTCTAATCCTGGTTCAGTAAATGACAACTTGACTCCTAGGTACCTTGGTGAAACCAAGTTGACCTGTTCCCCATTTTATCTCACAAGTCCCCTGACTTGCATTAGGAGTTCATTTCATTGGTTCTGCCCTGCTGCAGGTCTCAGCCTCTCCCCTTTCTCTGTCCTTACCCCCACCAAGGACCCCTGGATAGCTCCCTCTAACTTCAGCTCTTCCTCCAAACCAGTCTCCATGTGGCTTCTGTATGGGTCTTGGCAGTACAGAGATCTGAGGGGTCACTTCTGAACCAAAGCCTTCAATTCAGTACATTCCTTTCTTGCTTTGAACAAAACTCCCAGATTTTATACCCACTGTGTTCTCCATGCTTTTACCCCACCCCCAACTCTCCTTTATCCACCAACTCCTGGGGGGCCAGTGATGCCCCCTGAACCTCTGGACCCTTGTCCGGGCCATCCTAGGTTAGTGTTTCCAGTACAGGCTTTCCAAGCAGACTTTGGGAGCCCTCAGCCAGTGTCCCCTCCTCAGAATGTCTTTCCTTGGAGTGGTATGTGGCATCAACCTTGAACCGGTTGTGTTGCAGGTATTGAGGATGCAGAAACTTGGCATGGGAAGCCAATGTCAAAGGACAGGGCAGATGCGATTATCAAGCTGATTGAGAGCCAGATCCAGACCACCAAGAATCTCGAGCCCAAACCACCTATTGAAGATTCACCCCACATCAACATCTCGGATATTGAAATGACCTCTCCCCCTCTCTACAATGTTGGAGAGAAGGTAGGCAGAAAGGTAGATGGTGGGCTAAGTCTATGACTGCTTTCATTCCCAAGTACCTTTGATGTATTCCCTACTACATACCTGTGATTGGGGAGTGGTATGACATAGGGGGAGAAGAGACAGATGAGCAGCAATGGAGCCAAGTCAGGGCATTAAGGTACAAAGGTGGTGTTAAGGAAAGATAGAGCCGACTATTCTAATCGCAGAGTCAGTAACATTGAAATTAGGAGACCCACACTGTTACCAACTGAACTGAGAAAGGTGCCTGTCAAGAGGGCAGGCCGGAGGGGGGTGTAGGAGAGACCTTACTGGTGGAGGGAAGTTGACTCTGGTGCTGGGATGGGCGCTGCAATACCATATGTCTCAACTGTGAAGAACTCCGTAAATCACGGTGCTTTAATAAAAAAAATAATAAAATTAGAAAGAAAGCTACGATGGTTTATGATCTTAAAGGAATGCACTAAAGGCTAGAGAAAAAGGGCAAGGGTTAGGTGCTTGCCTTGTGGCTGACCCAGTCACATAAACAATGCTTTGAGCTCTGCTTGTTGTGGTTCAGGAAAAGAGGAATGGGTTAATTCTCGACTGTTTCAAACCTTTCCAAATATGGAAATAAACAAAAGCATCATTCCAGTTCATTCGTGAAGCCCAAATCAGGACCAAGCTAACAAAAAACAAGGCCTGACTAAGCTCTCTTAGCAACACTACTGTAAGCTCTGAGAAAACATTGATCTCTGCTCCGTGGGTGCATTCAAAGACTGCGTGAACCGTGAAGTTCACATTAGTAATGCAAGGGATTCATTGATAGGGTGGGAAGCAGCATTTTCGGCCACAAGAAGCAAAAGCATCCGGAAATTCAACATTCCTGTTTTTTCAAACCTCTCTGTGAGGCAAAAGAGGCATGGTGAGATGCATAGAGAGGTTACTTCAAAATTTGCCAATCTAAACCCTGGAAGACCACGCTGCCATCTGACTGAGCCTGTCCCACCTAGGAAGGGTGGACCAAATCAGAGCCTCAGCATTGGCTTGGAACCGGCAAGGCCAGCTTGTTGACAGGTGCAAGACCCATAGCAGGGCTGGCAGAGCCCGTAGAATTAGCCACAATAGTTAAAAATAAGAGACTGTGGAGAGCTAGCTCAGAGCAAAACTACAAGTATTTCTGTTTTTATATATTGACAAAGTGGAGACCTGTTTTTTAATAATAGCAATAAAAATGAAAATAGCTACTCAGGATATGCAAGATCTTTATAAAGATGTTTATAAAACACTGCTCTGGGCCAGGGAGGCAGTCTAGTACTTGACTTGCATGTGCGAGGCTCTGGGTTCTATCCCCAGTCCTGAGAAATGCAGTTACACATTGTAATATTTGCAACAAAATCAGTTTCCTAGTGTAAGAGGTTTCTGCATTTTGGACATTTGAAAATGTCCAATGATTTTAACGGGGCATAGATTACATTTATTGGTGAGAAATGGATTCCCAGTGAGCCACATTTTTCGGATTAGCTGGCAGTCCCCTTTTACGGCCCTGAAGGAAGTGAGTGAGTCACACCTCCGCTTTCTGCACGAAGATAGGTCATCTGGAATTTTTCCAAGTTTCCCCTTTTGAATGCATTCCGGAAAAGTGCGTTGCTGCCCCTTGCAGATAGCTACTCGGAAGGCCTGTGGGATCGCTCTGGCTAAACTGGGCCACGCCAATGATAGAGTTGTCGTGCTGGATGGCGACGCCAAGAACGCCACTTTCTCGGAACTGTTCAAGAAGGAACACCCTGAGCGCTTCATTGAGTGCCTCGTTGCTGAGCAGAACATGGTATGTATATTGTGTGTTCCTTCCCTGGGGCCACTGGGCACCAGCAGCCTGCCCCCTCCTTTCCTCTCACCCTGAAAGCAGGTACGGGAACCAGAGAACGTGCTCCAGACTCGTGGGGAGAAAGCAGTTGGGCATGCTGAAGGGTGGCTTCCAGTCCGCCTGGGAGGGATGGGTAGGCCCAAGCAGCATGCCCTGCAGCCCAGAGCATCACAGGCCCATTCTCCAGGTGGCCGCTAGATTCTACCCAGCCACCAGGGGCTGGGACCTTGCAAGCCACCCACTCTGGCCTGCGGAGCTCGAGGAGTCAGCTTTGGATCCGTGTCCGTGCACACACTCCCCTTGGGAGTGTCCGTCAGGACCGGTGGCCTTGGTTCTCCAACTCAGAGGGGCTGCCCGCTCTCCAGGACATAGTGGGGCAGAGCTGGGGCCAACAGAGCTCCCAGCCCCCTCACGGGTTCGTTTGAAACAAGTAGAGGTTCGGTTGGTTCTGTTGACTCAATTCCAGCGCAGCCACAGTTCCCTTGCCCTGGGCTCCACGCCCTGTCAGAGCTGGAATGGAAATCTCTGGTCAGTAGAGTAGGGCCTCCAAACACCGAGAAGACCTTGTCTCGTGGGTTCACTAAGCCATCTCCATTGGCTCTCCTATTTGTGAGTCGCACCCTCACTTGCTGAGCTGAGCCTCCATCAGAGGACTGCTCCCCACTGCCTTCTGCCAGCGCCCTAGGGCTCTAGCTTTCTGGTGTGTTGGCCCGAGGTTAGCCAGCGCCGTGGGGAGCCCAAGCAGTGGTGGGAGGCAGTTTGGGCAGCCGGAAGAGGTGCTACTGAAGTTAAGGGGCAGTGGTAGGGAGAGAGTGGGGAGCATGCCGGGCAGAGGACTGGCACGGCCAGATCTGGGGCGGGCCCAGGGCACATCAGGCCCCTCACAGCAGGGCGCAGGAGGACAGTGGTGCCATGGGCGTAGCCAGCAGGGTGTGGCAGGCAGCTGGGGCGGGGTCTAAGGCGGGAAGCCAGCCTGACACAAGGGCATGGCCCAGAGTCCCGACTACTGGTTCCTGAGACAACTGCCCAGGGAAGGATTTGGGGACCCATTCAACAGCTCTGTTGGACTGGAGGGTGTCAGAGTAAAACTCTTAAAGAAAACAGGTAGGCCAGGTTAGACGGACCACGACCAGCTGAATCATTTCCCTTCACACGTATTTGCTCTTTCCACGCACCAGGGGTTCTGGAGTTTTCCTGGCGGGGTGGGGGTTGAACTTGGCTCTCCTATTTGTGAGTCGCACCCCATTGAGCCACCACATCCTAAACTGTAGGTTCTGCCCCATTTCATTTATTTGGTTTTAGTTCTCTTTTTCTGCCTAGTTTTAATACCTGGATTTTCCACTAGTTTACAAAGTTGGAAAGACTGTCAGTAACTTTCTGTATCCTGATATCTTTTAACACTTAAATTAATATTCATGATCATGTGATCATATTATGTGAAGATGTGAAGACACTAATTTTTAAGAAAATCAATCGCCTTTTCTACTTGAAAGTTTCCAGTCCATTCCCCCCAACATATTTTATACATGAAAGCCTTTTATTGAATATGCTGTTACTCCTGGCGATAAAAAACATGCATATATTAATAGTTTTTTAATTTGTTCCTGTGTCCATATGCCTGTGAGCATTACAGTTTTTGCTTCTGAATTGAACTGTGGTTCTAATCACTTTTGGGGTTTTGTTTTTTGCCACACCCAGAAGTGCTCAGGGCTGACTCTTGGCTCTGGACTCAGGTATCACTCGTGGGGGACTCAGGGGTCCCTTGGGGTGCCAGGGAGTGAACCGGGGTTCGCTGTAAGGCAGGCACCCTACCTGCTGTACTCTCCCTGTAGTTCCTGTTACAAACTTGCGTATTGCTGGACACATATGGCTCGATTCAGCCAAGATTGAGCGCCAAATCCATTCTTCCTCACTGATGTAAGAGCTCTGAACCTTGTTCACATCCATCAGTGGATGGAAAAGGAAAGAGTTTTGTTGTAGGGATGTCATTCGATGCTTTGAATTCCTTCCTAGTTACAAGCAGCAGTCACATGATGATCGTTCCTCTTAACTTGTTTGGGAAAGCTTCCCTGGAACAGTTGAAGAGTTCATTAGGTTCTTGCGGTTTTGTTGAAAGCAAGTGAAGGAAAATTGGTTTACCAAAAAATGTGTTGCCCACTCACTTGAGCTCTTCCCTTCCTTTAACAACTCCAAAAGTGTCCTTTTGGTTTCTGTGGGGAGCTTTTACTGCCAGAATGGGGCCCCTCTGTCCAGTGGGGGCCACAGTTTGGCTGCCAGTCTGCTGAGGGGGGATGAGGAGATAGCAACCCTTCACTGCCGACAGATGTGGGTTGGAGGAACTGGGCGCCAATGCTGTGTGGTTAGAATCTGTACCGAATCCTTCTCGAAGACATGGGTCTCGTGGAGGGGGCCGTGTGGCATGGGGAGCCGCACCCTAATGCAGATCCACAGGGAGTGCTCAGGTCAGCTTGGGCAGGCATGAGAACAGGCCTTCCTCTGACCGAGCACGCTGCAAGGGCATCTCAGCCAGCTCAGGTAAGAAGGAAGGGCCTGAGTGCCCACTGCTGCTCGGGGGCTAGCTTAGATGCAGACAGAGAACGTCTTACGGTTCCTCGTGGGCAGGCGGGCTTGGCAGTGGGAGGGCAAGTAGGCTGCAGGGACGCTATGTGCGGTAAGCCAGGGCAAATGCAGCCTCCAGCAAGACCAGCAGAGTCTGTCAGAATAGCCCGAGAGCAAGAGGGCACCAGCAGCCTGCAGGCAAGGGCACTGCCTCGTCCAGGAGAGGGGGCCCGGCCCACTAGTCCCCCAGTGTCCAGGCAGGGCTGACACTGCTCCGTGTGGCAGTTCTGCTTTCTGGGCCGTGTTCAGGGAGCCTGCTGGTTTGCTTGCTTAGGGCTCCGAGTGCAAGGCAGGTGGGTGCACAGAGTGCGAGTTTGGGGGGAACCACAGATTCTGCCCTAAACAGGAGGGGGAGTCATGGTCCCGGGAGGTTCTCATTGCCTCCTCTGTGTAACAGGTGAGCGTGGCGCTGGGCTGTGCCACACGTGGTCGAACCATCGCCTTTGCCTGCTCCTTCGCTGCCTTTTTGACCCGCGCATTTGATCAAGTCCGCATGGGGGCCATCTGCAACTCCAGTGTCAACATCGTGGGCTCTCACTGCGGGGTGTCCGTAGGTATGGCCCCGCTTCCTTCATTGAGTCTTTTTCTCTCTTACCAGGCCAGAATATCTTCCACAACTTCCAAAGCCTGGGAGCATTTGATTCACAATGTGAGGCTTGGATTTGCTTAGGTGGTAGAGTGAATAGATCTTGCATTTGAGCCCCAACCCCATAGGTCAGAGCTCCCATAGGAATGACGTCAAGTGCCAGATGCTCCCTGGGAACCCTCTCCGACCTTACATGGTGCCGGCTTCCAATCCACCGGGAGCACAGGTAGCGCCAGGTCTGCTCTGCTGAGCTGGATTCTGGCGTGGGGCATGACATGGCCCTTCCGAGAGAGCACCTCTGTTGGTTGCCCTGTGCCTGGGAGGATCACGTTCTGAAACGGTTCTGGCTGGGAAGTCCCAATGCACCCCTTAGGCCTTCTTTGTTCTAGCGGTACTCCAGGGGACCCCAAGGATTTGTTACTCAGCTACTTTGAAGAAAACCCCGAGAAGCAACTCAGAGCCCTGGGAGATGTGCCCAGTGTCTGCTGGAGCAGCAAGAGCGCAGAGAAGCCAGGCAGGGCTGTGTAACCCACCAGGCACCCAGGCTAGGAGGGGTACTCAGAGCGCAGGGCCGGTATGTACCAAGAGAACACTGGGAGTGACAGGAGACATGCCAGTGGCTGATAGGACGGGCCAAGGAGGACTTCGGGTTGGGGTACATGTCTTGTTTGGGGGTTGTCTTTGCTTTCTCAGGGGAAGACGGCCCTTCCCAGATGGCCCTGGAAGACCTGGCCATGTTCCGAACCATTCCCAACTGCACTATTTTTTATCCGAGCGATGCCGTTGCCACTGAATACGCTGTGTTCCTGGCGGCCATTACCAAGGTATTCTTTTTTTTTTTTTTGCCTTTTGGGTCACACCCAGTGATCCACAGGGGTTACTCCTGGCTCACGTACTCAGGAATTACTCCTGGAGGTGCTCAGGGGACCGTATGGGATGCTGGGAATCGAACCCAGGTTGGCCCGGGTTATCACTCCGGCCCTACCAAGGTATTCTTAAGGGCACAGGTTGCTGTTCTTGCCCTGAGTGTTGGTTGTGCGGGTACAGATGAGGCCACTGTGTACAAAGGGTATGTGCCCAGCCCATCAAGCCCTGTTTTCTGTCAGAACTGCTGTGTGAGGGTCAGTGGAAACTCGTGCACTTTCTGACTTCCTGCTTGTGCCTTAGGGGATCTGCTTCATCCGCACCAGTCGCCCTGAAATGAATGTTATCTACACCCCACTGGAGAACTTCAGAATCGGACAGGCCAAGGTAAGGCCCCCAGCTGACCCTGTGTGACCTGGCCCTCCACGGGGACAGACGTACTGCAGCAGCTCTGGCTCCCACAGTGGGGCGGCCTTGGCCCAACTTTGTTCTCTCCCAGTCGCGTCTTCCAACATATTAACTTGAAGGCCCTTGAGTTGCGTGGCTGAAATCTAACACAGCTTCACACGAAACAAAATCAGGGCTGGAGTGATAGTGCAACAGGTAGAGCACTTACCTTGCACATGGCCAACTTGGGTTCGATCCCTGGTCCCCCGAGCTTCCCAGGAAGGAATGATCCCTGAGCACAGAGCCAGGACTTAGTCCTGAGTACTGCTGAGTGTGGCCTCCAAACAGAAGCAGACTAAACAAAATCATGGAAATCCTAGGCCCTAGTATAGAGCCTTGGGTTGGATCCCTGGCATCACGTGTTTCCTTCAGGAAAGACCCTGAGAGGGCCACGGTGCTTAGCCAACCCCCGCTGACCCAGAAGCCCCTTAAAGTGGGAAAGACCCACTAGTTCTCGCGGGCCAGCAGGCTGGCTGCCACAGCTGCTACATGGCACTCAGCTGCGATGAACCTGTGAACACTGGCACCACTGGCACTTCTTGTCACCTGTGTTCTCACTGTGGATAGAGCAGCCCAATTTTACTGAGAGCTGTTCGCTCAGGGTTTGAGCCCAGGCAGTGCCCAGCCTCAGGGAATGAAGGAATGCAGCTCAGGGGAGGCCTTTCAAGCCCGAGGCCCGGGACTCACACACATGTGTGCGGCACGCAGAGACACATGTGGCTCTCTCCTGAGCTCATCCCATGTGGGTAGTTCTCCCTCCTGCTGCTGTCTAAGAGTCACCAGAGGCCCCGTGCTCAGCAGCACACCTACAGCCAGCACCCGGGCCACTTGGTCCCCAGCTCCATGTAAGATCCCATGTTGGGAGGTGGCTGGCTACAGTTGGCCCTGGCCCGACAGGATGCAGCCAGGTTGTGGGTGAAGGATTCCCGGGATGGAAGACCCACACCGAGCAGTGATTCCTTTTGTTCCTTGACATTCTGGGGTGGGACTCGGGACTCCTAGTGCTGCTTTGGCCCTGTGCTTGGAGGATCACGTACCACGCGCAAAGAAATCTTAGCACACGTAGTCTGCAGTGGGCCTTCTCTGCTGCCAGTGTCCTGTCACTGGAGAAGTGGCCCTGGCGTTCATATGTCTAGGGAATGTGCACAGAGTCGTCAAGTAAGCGTAGAAGGTGTGTCCTTGCTTGTCAACGCCCCCGGGGCTCTTTGACACTGAGTGCAGTGAGGGGGGCTGGGGAAGGCGGAGCCACAGAATGGCCCCACTCTGAGATGCCGGGTGGGTTCCATGCCAGGTTGTGCGCCGCAGTCCGGAGGACAAGGTCACAGTTATTGGAGCTGGGGTGACTCTTCACGAAGCCTTGGTGGCGGCTGACACTCTCAACAATAATGGTCAGTAGGTGTGCCTGAGACACGGGCTGGGGCTGCCTGGGGTGCCCAAGTTGTTCGCTGCTAAATCAGCTTCATCTCCCTGGCCGATGCTGACTTTCTCTAGGGATTTCTATCCGTGTCATCGACCTGTTCACTGTCAAGCCCCTGGATACTGTGAGCATCATCACCAATGCCAAGGTCACCGGGGGCCGGATCATCACTGTGGAGGACCACCACCCTGAAGGTGCGCAGGAAGTGCTGTACCCTCTACTACTGTCCCCGGGGCAGGGCAGGGTGGTACCTGCACACCCCCCAGCGGTGACTTCTCCCCACAACATACGCCAGAGTGCATCTTCACTCTCCTTGGCACTCTGGGAGAGGCCTCGTGAAATGTGTCACTGATGCTCCAGCCTTTTGTGTGGGTGATACTTGGAACACCCTCCAAAGGTGGATCATGTACACAGAACCCAGAGCAAGTTCAGAAAAGTGTGTGCCTTGGGCCGAAGAGCTGGTACAGCGGGCAGGACACTTGTCTTGCACGCAGCTGACCTGAGTTCAAGTTCCCGGCATCCTGTATGGTCCCCTGAGTCCCATCAGGAGTGAATACAGAGCCAAGAGTAAGCCCTGAGTACTGCTGGCGTGGAAAAAAAAAGAAAATGAAAAACGATAACTGTGTGCGTGCTAGGGAGAAGTGGGGGCACTGTTCATTCTGAGCCAGTTAACTAGCGCAGCAGAGTGATAAGGAACATGAGGTTTCCCTGTCGGGGCGCCCAAGAGTATGCCCGCTCTGCTTCTCTAGAAAGCAGGTGCTTGGAGAAAGCTCCCCGCAGTGCCTGCAGTCTGGGCCCCATCTCACCGAGGCAGGGGGCGCGACCCAGTGCCCTGCAGGATGTGCACCTTTGACCTTGAGCCCACCATGCACTATATTAGAGATTCATGGGTGAGTTGCAGTCGGTCTCAGATACCTGACAGCTGTGACGTCGGTGCCCCCACAGACCCCACCCCATTTGTGAGGACCAGTGGAGAGCCCTGGCTCTCAGTGGGGTAGGAGCCATTTGGAGACCCACAACATTCCAGTGACCACGACTGTTCCCATGAGTCAGTGAGGGGTGAAGAACATTTTTCCTAGGGCTCTAAGGCCAGCTGGCTACTTGCAGACCTCAGCTGTTCTCTGCCTCCCCAGGTGGCATCGGAGAGGCAGTGTGTGCAGCCGTCTGCATGGAGCGTGACATCATAGTCCATCAGCTGTCAGTGTCCGGGGTGCCTCCGAACAGAAAAATGGCTGAGCTGCTGGACATGTGTGGGATCAGCGCTAAGCACATCGTTGCAGCTGTGGAGTACCTCCTGAAGCCCAAGTAATGGCCAGGCCACCTGCATTTCCCTCCAAGACTTAGTCACACTATGATTCTAACAGAAAATCCAGCTTGCTCCCTTCCCTTTCCTTAGTAGACATATTTCTGTAGATGGGCATCACTGTCCTTGTGTAGAATATCTTAAATGACACCAGAAACTAAGATTCCAGTTCAGTAGGCTACACTTTTGCGAGATGACATTTGTAAACGTGCGTGTTTTGTGTGCGAGTTGAAGACTGTGCGAGTGGAGTTGGGGCCCCCAGAATCCGAGCGGTGCAGCTCCAGCCCAGGCTGCCGGGCTGGCCTTGTCCCAGTGCCCGCGCTGCCCTCCTACCTGCAGCTTTCCCGCTGCTGTGTGACTGCACTGGCGCCGGCTGCATCTCCTCTCTGCTGTCCGGCTGGGCAGGGTGTTCTGAGCTGCTCATGGTTACTGGGCTGTGGAGAGAAGATGTTCGTTCCAGGCACCCTCACACCCCCACCCTCACAGGCTTCAGTACCATGTCCTTTGCCCAGCAAGCACAGCCACCAGCCCTCGCACTGCTCATCAACCTTGTTCCCTGTTCGTTTTTCGTTAATAAAGCGTTCCAAAGCAGCTGCCTGGCTCTCTGCCTCCGAACCGTGACTTGCTTTCCCCTGGATAGAAGCCCCTTCTTTTGGGGGGAATTTATCTAGAACAAAAGGGAAGAGAGCCGGGTGTACCGAAAACAAAGCCAGGAAAGGGTAGTAGCAGGAGAAGAGTCCCGAGCGGGCGCTGGGTGAGCCAGAGCACCACCCTGAGCTCAAGGGTGCCTGCACTCTGCTGCGCAGGCCTCTCTTGGCCCAAGAAATGATGTGACCGTGGATTTAAGTAGGGGTGCAAATCAAATATTTCCTCGTAGCAGGTCACGAGTTTGTTCTAAAACACACCTTTTGGGACCCCAAATTCACTTTGAGGAACTTGGCACCCAGCTAAGTCTTTCCTCTACACCCTGAGCCCCCGCCAGCAGAGCGGAGGCCCAGTCCAGATCTGAGGTGGGTCTACACAGCTCTTTGGGTTCCACGCCTCTTCCTGCCATCAGTAACTGCTCATTCGGGGTGCCTTTTCTCGAGGTGTGTCAGAGACCAAGTCTATACCCTGGAGCCTGGCATTCTCCCTGTGTCACTCGAGCGCAGTCATTGCTCGGTTGGCTTCCTAGTCAGCCGCAGTTGGTACCAGGTCACCAAGTAAAACTCACAAATGTTAATGAGCACCCCGTTCTGGAATCAGCGAATCCAACTTTCCCTTCCCTCGTGGCTCTGTCTCTCTGAATCTGTCTCTGTCCCTGTCTGTCTCTCCTCTGCCCTCATCCTACATCTCACCTCCTTAGGGTTAGGATCTACCTTCAGACTTCCACTTCATGCAAAAATGGGACCGAGGGCTGGAGCAATAGTATAGCGGGTTGGGTGTTTGCCTTGCACACAGCCAACCTGGGTTTGATACCCAGCATCCCATATGGTCCCCCAAGCACTGCCAGGAGTAATTCCTGAGTGCAGAGCCAGGAGTAATCCCTGAGTATTGCTGGGTGTGAACCAAAAGCAAAAAAAAATGGGGCCAGGAGAACATTCCATATGATCCATATAATTCACCCCTTTAAAGTGGGTTTTAGTGGAGTGGTGTTCTGCTGTAGAACAACTGCATTGCCTTCTTTGGCATCCACTATTGGTGCTCTCATCCCCTGGCCCCTCTGTCTAGCATGTCTGGGGCTTTCTTATGGATTAGAACCAGGTGCATGGACTGGCTGCCGGGTCCACACACGGAAGGAAGCACCAGGGCTGTGTCCCTGCTCTGGCCCTGTGCCATGGTGCACCCTGCAGACTGCACAGCCTTTAAGGGTCAGTGTCCCCTTCTGGTATGTGGTTGAGCCAGGCCAGAGGGAGGACACAGAGTGGGTGGCCTCAGCCCTGAGTCCTCGCCAACTGGCACCACATCTGCGCACATGGCTCTCTAAGCGCCTTGGGAAGTGCAGCTGAAGAGGCTGCCCAGCACTGCCCACACAAGCAGTGGACTGAGAGGGAAGAGGGGCACCATGACACCCATGGAGGCAGGCAGCAGTAAGGTGTTGGGAAGCGACAGGAAAACCGGGAGGGCTTGTCCCTGCACGTGGTCCCCGGAGCACGGCCAGGAGGGGTTCCTGAGTGCAGAGCCAGGAGGAAGCCCTGAGCATCGCTGGGTGTGACCCAAACAGACACAAGAAGAGGTTTGGGAAGCTGGAGCGACAGCACAGCAGGTAGGGCGTTTGCCTTGCACGCGGCTGACCTGGGTTTGATTCCCAGCATCCCATATGGTCCCCTAAGAACCGCCAGGAGTGATTCCTGAGTGTATGAGCCAGGAGTAAGCCCTGTCCATCGCCAGGTATGACCCAAAAAGCAGTAATAATAATAATAATAATAATAATAATAATAAAAGTGCCTTTGCCCCTTCCCCACCGCACTCTCCTTCGAGGCACGCCCCTACCCACCACTGGGCACACTCACGGCCGCCTGCGCCCCGCCCTGCGCATCGCTGGGCTGCGAAACGCCATTTGCTGATTGCGCCGTCATTCACTTGCTCCAGCCAGTCAGCGTCGCCGGAATCCCCGCCGGCTCCGAGCCTGAAGCCTGCCCTCCGCCGCAGCCTAGCACCCTGCACGCTGAACGCAGCGGGCCGGGAGGTGCAATGCAGCGAGCGGCCCCCACCCCTGCCCGCGGTGAACTGTGGGCTCCACGCCCAACCTCGACCTGAGCGGCATGGAGGCTGCAGGTAGGGCCCAGCGTAGGGGCGCCAGAGCGACGGGATGAGGGGAGGGAGGGCAGGGCGGGTGCAGGGGTGCAGCCCAGGCGTCCTGACTGCGCTGGCTCGAAAGGCGACGCTTCTGAGTTGGCGCCAGCCTGCGCGCGCACAGCACCTTCGCCAGAACAGACCCCGCACGGCGTTGTCGGCCAGCAGGCACCCTGCAAAGCCAGGGACAAGGGTCAGGAATGAGGGGTGATCACCATCATCCCGTCATCATTACGAAGATAACTGCAGTTGCAGCAAGAAGCGACTCCTGGGGTTCCAGGGCAGCCCTGCACCGCTGTATACTGGTCAGCGTAGGGGCTGTTGCACCACCCGGGTGAATTAGGCGGGACCCTGGAGAGGGTGTCCAGGACAGTGGGTGTCCCGGTCTAGCCAGGCACGCACTCAGGCGAGCTACTGCCCCATCCTCCAGTCAGGGAACCCCAGATGCCACACACAGAGGGCCAGCTGCGGGCACTGGCCAGTGAACTGAGAGGAGCCTCAGTCTTCCCGATCATCAGCTTCCAATCAGGCCAACCAAGGGGCCATTTCAGAGCCAGGGGCCTCCCGCTGCGGCCCTGCCTTTAGCCTGAGAAACAGGGAGAACCCTTCCTGCCAGCCTGGGACCCAGCGTGCAGCCACCAACTTCACCCCCACTCTTGGTCCCTGTCAGCCACGGGCCAGCTTGGCCAAGGTGGGGGTGGGGGTGGCTGCAGTGCTGCAGGGCCCCTGTGTGCTGGCGAGGGACCCCGGTGCCCTCATCCAGCCCAGGGAGTGACCATCGCGACCAGAAGTCCCGGCCCCGGGCAGCAGAGGGACAGTGCGGGGAAGACACTGAGGGGGCCCAGGCGGACAGAGCCGAGGAAGAGGCCCGCGGGGAGGGAGGCTGTGAGGCACCCAGCGAGCCAGCAAGAGCTTGGTCTGGGCCAGATCCGGCTGGGGAGCACGTGGTCCCGGGGTGCTCCCCACGTGCGGGGCGGGGCGCTCGCCACAGCCCTGTGGGGGTTTCGCTGGCCGGGACTGCAGCTCTCCGGGTCGCTCCCTGGACGCTGCGTGGGCTGCTCTGGGCCTCCTGAGCAGCACAGACGCCTTCTTGAGCAGAGGACCGGCCGTGGCCAAGAGCCACGGATCGAGCACCCGTCTGAGGTGCAGTGGGAGCCAGGACGGGGCTCCGGGCCACCTTGGCTCCCCCGCGACACTGCACACGGACCGCAGCCCTGCCAGGGTCCCTCCTGAGCACAGGAATGCTCTCTACCCCCTAATCAGAACACCACTCTCGAAACCGCCAAAGTTCTCTTCTTGTGCTCCCTTTCCTCCTCCTCCCCTGCTCCGCCCCCTCCATGTCCTCCTGATCCCGCTCCATCCCCTCCCTCCAACTCAGTCTCCTCCTCCCCTTCATCCCCTCCTTCTATCTCCATCTCCTCCTCTCTGCACCATTTTATCCTCCCATCTCCATGTCCTCCTACCCTCTCCATCTCATGTCCCATCTCCGTCTCCTGCCCCTCCATGTCCTCCTCTTCCCCCTCCGTCTCCTCCTCCCTCCATCCATGTCCCCCTCCCCCATCTCCATCTCCTGCTCCTCCTCGTCCATCATTTCTTCCTTCTCTTCCTTCTCCTCCTCTCTCCTCTGCGTGTCCTTCTCCCTCTCTTCTTTCTCCTCCTCCTCCCCTTCTTCTTCCTCCTCCTCTTCCAGGTCACACCCTGTGCCACTCCGGGGCTGTTCCTGAGTCTGTGCTGTGGGTCCTTCCTGTTCTGCTCAGGGCCACGCGGAGCGGGACTTCTGGCCTCCTGTGTGCAAACGCCCGAAGGTGGTCCTGTTCGCTCTCACCTCTCCCAGGCAGTGCCGGCATGAGGAGGCAGTAGCACCCTCGGGATACCCTGCCACTCCCCGGACACACCTGGGACTCTGCCGTGAGGAGCCCTGAAATGGGGCTTGGGCTCTAAAATCAAGTGCAGTTGCAGGCCCTGCCCTGCCCACGGCCAGCCACTGACTGGCCACCTGTGGGGGGAGTACCCATCTTCCTGGGGAACGGGGTCTCTGGGAGGTGGGGACGATGACGTGTGAGCGCCAGTCCTGCCCATGTCTGGCTCCACCTTCTACTGATGAGTGTCAGGTCTTGGGGGAGAACAGGATACCACCCCTAGGCCTGGAGGAGTTGGACTCCTCAGGGTCCAAGATTTAGGCTGAAGAAGTGACTCAGCTTCCCGGAGGGACAAGCCTGACCCTTGAGGGAAGGCTCCCTTCCTGGGGAATTCTGGAAGAGACACCCTCATTCGAAGCTACTCCTCTGAAAGGAATCTTCCTTTACCTTGTTTTTTTTTTTACTTTTTTTTGGGGGGGGGCACACCGGGCAGTGCTCAGGACTTACTGTCGGCTCTGGAGACTCTGTGGTTCCAGGATGGAACCGGGTGACCATGTGCAAATGGACCCACAGTACTCGCACTCCGTGTTTTAGTGCTCATTCCACTAGAGGGAAACCCGTGTACATTTCAGGCCCTTCTCCAAAATGGACGCTTCCATGTTCCAGGTCATTCTGCTGCGGGGAAACTGGTCCGTGTGCGATGTAATTTTCCTCAAAGACTGGTCCACATTGAAGGTAATTTTTGTAGATGGAGAGTGACCCTAGATTGAGCTGGTGCCATTGGAGCCCAGGACACTGACCCGCATTCGCGGTGCTTCCACTAGAGGGAGACCGAGCCCCATTCAAGGCCGTAAACCCGGCGAGACTGGGCAAGTGTTTCTCCCGAGGGAAGCATCTCTCTTCCAGGTCATTCTCCTACATGGAAACCACTTTATGTTCAAAGCCACTGGCCTAGAGGAACAAGGTTCCAGGCAGTTCTTCGAGAAAATCTGGTATGTGTTCTAGGTTGTTCTCTTAGAAAGAGACTGATCATGATGTGACCCTAGCAGAGACTTATCATAGGGGTACTTGGGGCTGGAGCGATAGCACAGCGGGTAGGGCGTTTGCCCTGCACGCAACCAACCAGGCCGACCCGGGTTTGATTCCTGCACCCCTCTCGGAGAGCCCGGCAAGCTACCGAGAGTATCTCGCCCGCACGGCAGAGCCTGGCAAGCTACCTGTGACATATTCAATATGCCAAACACAGTAACAAGTCTCACAATGTTACTGGGCCCGCTCGAGCAAATCGATGAACAACAGGAGGACAGTGTTTATAGTGTTACTCGAGTCCATGTTCAAAGCAGTTTTCCTAGAGGGAGTCTGGCCCATATTGGAGGGCATTCTCTGGCATGGACTAATCTTAAAGGCTGGTCCAAATTTGAAGTCATTCTGCCAGTACGGAATAAGCCTGGCATCCGTGGTGAAGGAAGGAAGGTGCGGAGGGAAACTGACCCAGGCTTGAGGCAATTCTCCAGGAGAAAACTTGTCCACGTTCAAGGCATTTCTAATTGAACACATAGGAGACATCCAATTTGAGTTAATTTTTCTAGTGGGGCACTGGCCCAGGTTCAGGTTAATTCTCCTTGATGGATTCAGGTCGCATTTGAAAAGATTTCCTCAAGCAGACTGATTCATATTTGATGTACATGTCCTACACGAAGACTGGCCCTTGTGCCTGCCTTCCTGGAGAAGGTTACTGGTCTGCGTTGGTGCTAGTTCTCCTAGAGGGACATCTGCGGCATGTCCCAAGCTCAGAGATTTAACAGTACCAGGAAGAGAGCTGGAGAGAAGATGGAGGGGGAGGAGGAGATGGAGGGAGAGGAGGAGATGGGGATGAGAGGGTGAGGTGCAGGGGCTGGAGTGATAGCACAGCGGTAGGGCGTTTGCCTTGCACACGGCCGACCCAAGTTTGATTCCCAGCATCCCATATGGTCCCCCGGGCACCGCTAGGAGTCATTCCTGAGTGCAGAGCCAAGAGTAACCCCTGAGCATCGCCGGGTGTGACCCAAAAAGCAAAAAAAAAAAAAAGAAAGAGGGTGAGGTGGAGTGGGGAGGAGATAGAGGGGGGAGGAGACGGAAATGGGAGGATGAGGAGGGGGAGGAGATGGAGTGGGGGAGGAAGATGGAAGGGGAGGAAGAGATGGAGCTTGCTTTGCACGTGGTCAACCCAGGTTCTATTCTGAGCATCCCATTATGGACCCCCAACCCCCACAAGGAGTAATTCCTAAGTACTGAGCCAGCAGTAAGCTCAGAAAATCGCCAGGTGTGGCCCCAAACCAAACCAAAAAAACTCTACCAGGAAGAAGAAACCAACATAAAGAAGTGTAACAGCCATCATGGGACTCGTACTGTATTCCTAGTCCATAAATTCTCTCAAACAGCAGTCACCCAGAATCTAAAGCACGGATAACGCCCTGGGTTATTTCCTACATACTATATGCACACGCATACACACACACACAGAGAAATAACCATATATGCAAGCAGGTAAAATGAGCTGACATTACTGTAGCAGCATGTAGGGTGTAGTATCACAACGGCAAGGTCCAAGAAAAGCAAAGTGCAAATCTGCAAAGCATATAGATTTTCACTAATGTTTAAGCTTTTGGTGAGGTTGGAGACATAATACAGGGGTAAGGCACTTGACTCACAAGTGGTTGACCTGGGTTTGATGCATGACACACCTTATGGTACCCCTAGCCCCACCAAGAGTGATCCTTAGCATAGATACAAGAGTAGCACTGAATGTCTGGTGTAGCAAAGAAAATAAATATTAAAATAAATGAATAGGGGCTGGAGCAATAGCACAGCGGGTAGGGCGTTTGCCTTGCATGCGGCCAACCCAGGTTCGATTTGCAGCATCCCATATGGTCCCCTGAGCACTGCCAGGGGTGATTCCTGAGTGCAGAGCCAGGAGTAACCTCTGTGCATCGCTGGGTGTGACCCAAAAAGCAAAACTAAATAAATAAAATAAAATCAATGAATAAACTGTTGGTGATTGCTAAGAATAAAGAGGGACCAGAGTGATAGTACAGCAAAATGGTGCTTGCCTTGAACGTGATTGACCCTGATTTGATTCCCATCATCCCCATGTGGTCCCCCAAGCCTGCCATGACTAATATCTGAATGCAGACCCAGGAGTAACCCCTGACCACTGCCAAGTATGTCCCCAAAACAACAGGGGGGAGAGATAATATAGTGGGACAAGTGCTTGCCTTGCATGTAGATGGCCGGGGTTTGATCCCCAGCATTCCATACGGTCCCCCAAGTACGCCCAGGAATGATCCCTGAACATCACCAGATGTGACCCAAAACAAAAAAGAAAAAGAAGCAAAACGAATTCCCTGAGATGAAGAAGTAGTGCAGCAGGTAGGACACTTGCCTTGCATGCGGATGACCAGCGTTTGATCCCCAGCATCCCATATATTCCCAGAAGCTCTGCAGGGCTGATTTCTGAGTGCAAAGCCAGGAGTAACCTCTGAACACTGCCAAGTATGGCAAAAAATTCTTTTTAAAAAGAAAGAAAAATGAGGTGACTAAAGAGTTCGTCCACCGTCTTTCTTAAAATTCTTACTACTGGGCCGGAGCGATAGCACAGCGGGTAGGGCGTTTGCCTTGCATGCGGCCGACCTGGGTTCGATCCCCGGCATCCCATATGGTCCCCCAAGCACCGCCAGGATTATTTCCTGAGTACAGAGCCAGGAATAACCCCTGAGCATCGCTGGGTGTGACCCAAAAAGCAAAAATAAATAAATAATAAAATTCTTACTACTTGCCAATTATTTGCTCGTAAACGAGGCATCATGCTGAAGAAACATGGCATACCATTAGGCAGTTTAGAAATTTCTGTTTTGATTTTTTTTATTTTGGGGCCATACCTGGTCGTCCTCAGGCCTTACTCCTGGCTCAGTTCACGGATCATTACTGGCGGGCTCAGGGAAACATGTAGGGTGCCTGGGATGCAACCAAGGCTGGCTGTGTTCAGGACAAGTGACGACCTGCTGTGCTGTCTCCCCAGCCCACTCTGTAACTTATGTAAGGGGTGAGGGAAGCGCCAAGTGGTGCCCCGGGAAACTCTACCCACACACAGAACTAGGGTAGCGCACCTGTGAGCAAGGGTCTTCGTTGCTTTCTAGCTCTAGAGCCGCTTGGAAATTTTTAACATATTTTTATTTTATTTTCGTTTTCAAGAGCTGGGGAGGGTCATTGAGCCACACCAGACTGTGCTCTGAGCTTATGTCTACATGTGCACCCGCATCTGCACCCACGAACAATTCTGGCAGTGCTCCGAGAACCATACTCAATGCTCCAGCCGGGGTCGGCCACATGCAGGGGAAGCGGCTTAACCCCTGTTCGAGCTCATCAGACTGTTGCCATTTCTTTTAAGGTCAATGTCCCGTCCGCAGCTGCCAGGGCTTGCACTCAGAGGCATCTGTTAGGAGAGCGGGACACTGAGGCAGGGCAGACACAGCGCTGAGGGAGCAGGATGAAGAAAGGCCACGACGAATACGCCCTTCCCAACTCCCCCTCCTCCCAGGGCTGAGCCCAAAGAGGGGCGCAGGACCAGCAGGCCCGACCCACTCGGGACGCCCGGTCAGCGGGTGCTCCCAGGGAATCGTGGGCGACGCCGCCAAGTCCGGCCCGCTTAGGCCGCGGGACAGCGCTCCGGGAGAGCGCGGGAGTGACGACACAGGCACTGGGGCCCGGGGGGCGGCGGGACGAGGCGGCGGCCACCGGGGGTCCGTGGGAGAGGGCCTGGAGCGAGGAGACCGGAAACCGGCGGCCCTGGGGGTCACTTGCACCCGCCCGCACGCCAGACGCCAACGCGCACGCGCACAGCGCCGCGCCCCGGCGGCTCGTCCGAGGGGCTACGGCCCCCGGAGCGTTCCCACGGGAGCCGGGGCGTGGCGGCCCGAGGCGCCACCGGCACGGGCAGGGCTGGGCGTCCCGGGACCGAACCCGCGACTCCCGCGCGCCCGCGCCGCGCCCCGCCCCGCCCACGACCCAGAGCCCGGGGGGCGGGGCGGGGCGGGGCGGGGCCGAGAGGGGCACCCACGCCAGCGGCGGCCGCCGATTGGGCCGGAGGCGTGTCGGCGGGCGCCGTAGGCTCCGCCCCGCCGCTTCCGCCCGCCCATTGGCCGAGCCGCCTTTCCCGCGGGGCGGGGCTTCCGGGGGCGGCCCGAGGGGGACGGAGGAGGCGGCCCGCTGGTGTCAGGGCGCGGCCCGCAAGCCCGGTCCCGCCCGCCCGCCCGCCGCCTCCGCCCTCCGGGCCTTGGCCGGGCCCCTGCGCGGGGGCGTTTGCGCGCCGCTGCCGAGACCCCCGCCCCTAGCGCAGCGTCGCCGCTCCCCTCCCGCGCCCTCGCCCTCGGCCTGGCCCTGCTGCCCCTCGGCCCCTCAGCCTGCCCGCCCCCCGCCTCCCTTGGCGCCCGGCCCCCTCAGCGTGGACTCCCCGGGCTTCCCTCCCGCGCCCTCGGCCCTCAGCCTGCCCCCCCACGGCCCCTCAGCCCCTCAGCCTGGCCTTCCTGGACTCCCACCACGCCTGGGCCCCTCAGTCCGGACCGAGCTCTCGGGCCCTCAGGATGGATTCCCCGGGTTCCCACTGTGCCCGGCCCTTCGGCCCCTCGCCCCCTCGGCCCCTCGGCCCCTCGGCCCGGCCCCCCTGGCCTCCCCGGCCCCCCGCCGCGCCTGGACCCCTCAGTAGGACTCCTCGAGCTCCCCTCCCGCGCCCTTCCCCTCAGCCTGGTCTCCCGGGCGTCCCCTCCCGCGCCCTCGGCCCTCAGCCTGACCCCCCCCCACCCCCGGCCCCTCAGCCCCTTAGCCTGGCCTCCCCGGGCTCCCACCAAGCTCTCGGGCCCTCAGTATGGATTCCCCGGGTTCCCACTGTGCCCGGCCCTTCGGCCTCCCCGTGCTTCCCTCGGCCTCTTGGCCCCTCAGCCTGGCCTCCCCAGGCTCCCACCGAGCTCTCGGGCCCTCAGGATGGATTCCCCGGGTTCCCACTGTGCCCGGCCCTTCGGCCTCCCCGTGCTTCCCTCGGCCTCTCGGCCCCTCAGCCTGGCCTCCCCGGGCCCCCACCGCGCCCGGCCCCTCGGCGTCCCCTCCCCGAGCTCCCACGGCGCCCGGGCCGGTCCCGCATCCTGGCCGCGAGTGGCTCAAGCGGGGCGCGGCTGGGCAGTGTCAGGCGCCCCTTCGGGGATCCGGGCCCTGGGGCGCGGGAAGAGGGTCGAGGGTGGGAGCAGCCCGGCCTTTCGGGAGGTCCTGAGGGCGCCCCCGCCCAGGCCCAGGCGCCTGCGGATGGATGGAGGTGCCCCGGGCCGGAGGGCGGGCGGGAGTGAGGCGCCTTCCCTTGTACCCCGACTCCCAGGGCGCCGCTGGGCCCTTGGCCGCAGCCCCGGGCCGGGCTGCTCCTCGGACTGACCCGCACACGCAGCAGAGGCGGCCGGGGCCACCCTTGGGGGACACTCGCTGACCAAGCCTGGGCTCGCCAGGGGCCCCTTTGGTCGTGGGGCTGCTCCTCCTGGCTGGGCACCGCGTGGGTATCTCCCCTCCCCTGGCACCTGGTGCCACGGGGCTGTGACCCGCCTGGCATAAGCCCTGCGGGGTGAGGGGATGCGTGCTCCCCCGAGTGGGAGCCCCTGTGAGACCCTTTGGGATGGACAGGAGACTCACTGTCCCCCTCCTACCTCAGCAACCCAGGCCAAGGACCAAGGACAGGGGCTGCAGGGCTGTCCTGTAGCTTCATGGTTACCCTGTGACCAGGGCAAGGGCAGCTTACCAGGGGCACCCACAAACACACACCTGCAGGTGCTCCCAAGGCTTCTGCCACTCCTCCCCGGAGCACTTCTAGAAACCTCCAGGGGTGGCCACCCCTACTCTGGGCTGGTAGGCCTTGGAGGGAGGGCGGAAACTGCTGGCTGGACCTGACTTGACTGGGGTGCTGGCGCCCTCGGGTGGCATCTGGCCTGAGGGACAGTCCAGTTGGGAGCCGTGCCCGTGCCCCTGTCTGCCGCTGCCTTGCTTGCCTGATCCCCAGCCTATCAGAGGCTGCGTTTCACAGCATCTTGGCAGCATCCACGCCCCTGCCAGCTTCCCTCTGCTAATGCCTCAGAGGCTAGCCCACTGCCTGGGGGCGAGGGCACCCCAGGGATATGGAGAGATTTCAGTTGCAAGTTGGACCCTTTCCATCCCTCAGTTGAGAGCTCCCAGGACCCTCATAGCCCCGGGCGCCTGTTGTGGCACTTGGAAGTCTGGGGACACTCACGTGGGGGGTAGGGAATGAGACGGGACAGAGGGTCAGTAGAGTGCACTGCAGCCCAGTGGGGCCAGTGTTAGGGACACAGTGGAGCTGCAGTAGGGCCCTGGGGAACACTTGGACTTCAGATGATGGCACGTCACAGGCCTGGGGCTCAGCTCCTGGGGCAGCCCTCAGGAACCCTCATCTGGCACACAGTGAGCAGAGGCGGTGCCGCGGCGGTCAATGAGCGCCACAGGACTGTCATCTGGGAGGCCAGTTTCTTCCTCCCTTCTCAGGCCAGACACCACTATGGTTTCTCAGCTCACCTGGGCCCCTTCCCCGCAGCCTTTCCGCTCAGGGCTCAGGGAATTTCCTCTGCATCACACCCCCTTCCCCACGGTGGCTGCTCACACAGGCACGCGGCCTCCTCCAGCACTCCCTTCGGGATCACCGTGCAGCTCTGGGGTCTTCTCTTGGCCCCCTCTGCCACCACAGGCAGCCCTGACACTGGGATGGAGAGGGGTCCAGGCTGAGGCTGCAGAGCACACACACACGCCACTCGATGTCATCTTTCCTTCCCTTCGGTGTATTGGAAATGCACAAATGCCTCGTGACTTTCAGTGTCATATACAAGCGTGGGGAGACAATCGGCAGGCCAACGTAGCCCCAACTGGAGGGAACAGGCACAGCCTGGTACCCACAGATATTTGCAGAGAGCCTGTGGTGCGACGCCAGTTGAGAGTTGGCCGAGTCCTGCCCCTGTAGCCAGGAGCCCAGCACCCTGGCTTCTGGGAGCTGTGCCAACCCTCCATGCTTTCCCGCTGTCACTGGCAGCGAGGACGAAGATGCGAGCTGCAGGTGGCTCGGCCCTGGGTTTCCTTAGCACCGTTTTGAGAAACAGATGTAAACTTGGATGATTACAAAATACCCCTGGCAGGAAACCCAGAGGGCAGCGAGATGCAGGCAGGTGAGGAGGAGGGCACCGGCAGGCCACGGACTCCCTCGGCCCTTCTGCCCCCTGTACTTGGTGCCCAGGGACACCGGGCCGTTCTTGCCACCCACAGCGTCACCTGTGATTCCAAGCCAGGTCTCCACTGGCCACGCCCCAGCCACCATGCTCGCCTTGGTAAGTAGTGACCAGCGTGCCAGCGGAAGTCAGCAAGTGAGCCCAGAAGCGAAGCACGCCCGTGTTTAGAGGTAGATGAGCCCAACCCCATGAGCGGGGCCGAAAGGCGGAGCCAACAGAGCCAGGGCCAAGCCTGCAGACCCCAACTGGCCGCAGCAGCAGAGAGAGCCCAGAGGTTAAAAATAAACGGTCTTTTTATTGTGTCCACAAACACAAAGTCAGGGTAGCCTTTGCTGAATCCCCCCGACGAGGTGACCACACACAGGAGGCATGCAGGACAACAACCAAGTGCTCCTCTTTAGGAGAAGGGACTGCCCTCCTGGGTCTGAGCAGCAGCGGCAAGCAGGGAAGGCTCGAAGGGCAGGGCCTGGGTCTGCGGCCTCCAGGGCACGACAAGCAGAACGAGGCAGGCTAGAACACAGAGAAAAGCCCCCGCCCCCACCCCCACCCCCCGAACACGGCCAGCTCCTCAGGGCTCCGTCCAGAAGGGGTTCCCATCCTCAGCCTGCATGGAGTAGTAGACAAAGAGCAGGAAGGCAGCAAAGACCAGGAACAGAAGCAGCTGGCCCCAGAGCGGGACCTGGCGGTCCAGGCCCAGCCCTGCCCCTGGGGTCTGCTTCTCCGGGCGGATGGCGCGGCGAGCCAGCCACGAAGGGGGGCCGGAGGAAGAAGACACGGGGGCGATGGAGGGAGACGGGTAATAGGTCAGGCCTCTTGAGATGCTGGCGACCGGGCGGTAATGCGCGATGCTCTGGTAGGGACTGTCCCGGCCAAACAGCTGGCGTTCCCTGAGACAAAGAGGGGAGCTGCTGGGGCCAGGAGGCCTGGGGTCCCGCGGGCTCGGCTCCTGGCCCGGGCTGCCACTCACCTATCCTTGCCATCCTCGAAAGAGAAGAGGCTGTCCTCGCGAACCTGCGGAAGAGTTGGGGGAGGGCGCTGGAGACAGCAGGGCCGGCGCTCAGGCTGCACTGCCCACCGGTCCATGATGACAGCAGCTTCAAGGCCCGGCCTCCTCCCCCTCCCACCAGGACCGACACACGTGACGTGCCGGGGCCTAGCTCCCACCGGCCTGGAGGGCCGCTCACGGAGGGCCCCTGACTGGGCAGGTGGGTGTGGCCCTGGGGCGGGGGGACCATCGCTGCCCTCGGGAGGGTGCCCGATGCGTCCAAATCCCTGCCGTGTGCCCACGCTGGGCACCGCAACTCACCTGGCAGTTGAAGGAGTCGGGATCCACCAGTGAGGGGCACGGCTGGCGGGAGCCCTTGGCGGCGCCCACACCGTCCGTCTCGCCGTAGGTCTTGGTGCTCAAGTAGCTCTCCTCGTAGTAATCGTCATTGTAGCCTGGGGAGGAGGACGGGAAGCAGGGAGTGGGCAGCCCCCCCACCGGCCGCCCCCACCCGCGCTGCGCCGCCGGCCGTTGGAAGGGGCCGTTGGAAGGGGCCGTGGGGGTCGGGGGGAGGGGACGGCGGCGTGGGGGCGGGCCGGCCGCCTCCCCCGCCTTACCTTTGCTCTGGTAGAGTAAGGCGTCCTCTTTCTTGGGCAGATCGTACATGTCCGAGTCGTCGGAGGCTGGATGAAGGTCCGCATGGGCGGGGGCGGCCGCCGCGCTCGGGCCCGCGACCCCCGTTCCCGCCTGCCCGCCACACCCCGGCCCCCCGCCCCCTCCCCGCCGCGCCGCCCGGCCCTCCCCCGCGGCCGCCCGGGGGGGCGGGGGCCTCACCCGAGAGCCGGTACGAGTAGGACGCCGACGCCGCCGCGCCGGGGGGCGACAGCCGCCGCCGCTGCGTCTCGTACTCGAAGATCTTCTTCTCGTACAGCTTGCGGGTGGAGCCTGGCGAGACACGAGCGGGGCGGTGGGCGCGCGGGGCCGGGGCGCGGCCGGGGGCGCGGGCGGGGGCGCGGCGGCCGCCTACCGACGACGGGCCCGTGCGGGATGTTGTACTGGCGCAGCACGGCGGCCAGCTCGGCGTCCGACAGCACGGCGTAGTCGTCCATGGCGCGGCGGCGGCGGTCGGGCCGAGAGCGAGCTGCCTCTGCGCGCGGAGCCAGGCGCGAGCGCGTCGGGAGCGGCTGCGCGCGCGTCACGGCCCCGTCACGCCGGCGTCACGGCCGCGGGCCGGGGGCGGGGCCGGCGGCGGGGAGCAGCCGGCTCAGACCGGTCGGGCCGTGGGAGCGCGCGGCCCCGCGCACCCGCCCCTGGCCGCGAGGACGCGCGCGGCGGCGGGCGCGCGCGTGCCCCGGCCGCGCGCCGCTAGGAGCGCCTAGACGGGCCCACGACGCCGCGGGGACCGCTGGCGGGGGGCGGGGGCCGGGGCGGGGCCCGGGCCGGGCGAACCGGCAGAAA